AGGTTAAACTTTTGAATAGCCCGATATCTGAATGGAATATCTCTCAATAAGTTGTTATCTAAAGAAAATGTACCTTGATTTAGTTATATGTTATGATTCAATTGTATGTTTTTTTTAGACAACCAATAAGTAAACCAAATGAATAAAATCATAATAAGTTAAGAAAACTATGATGAAAAATAATTCTTGAGGATGATTTCGGCCCCTAAAGAGATTATAGGATGTATAAAATTAAAAGCATCCGCTATTTTACAAAAAAAAAACATGCTAATTAGAAATTCTAAAACATGTTTTATTTGTAGTATCAGTTTATATGTTAAGCACATATACTTTATTCTAGCTACTCGCCAAGCCAATTCGCCTGTCATGAGTCATATTTTGATCTTGTTGATTATTCGCTTATTAACCTTGACTATATTTTTATATGAGCGTATATGTGTACCCTTCGTATCCTATTCATCATATGTCTGTCATTCATTTTTGCCTGATTATAAATATTAAGTAATGCTTGCTCATAGCGTGTTGGCTTCCCGGCCATCTCCACTATGCGTCATCTTTGCTTCACTCGCTTACACTTGCTCATGTGCCCACAGCTTTCTAGTCTGCATCATTTATCAATAAAATGTAGTTGCCGCTTTCTTTTGCCTTCTGATTTTATACACCGTTAAGATTGGCATAATAACGGTTATCGAAGTGAACTATTATTGAGGCACGGCCCGACCCTGGTTATCGGCTGTTAACTTAACAGTTCCAGTTATAATGAACTTCTAAAATCAAATATTTCTAACAACTTATTTAATGTCTAATTTTAAAACTGTAGAAAACAATTTACTTATCTCATAAATGAATTGTATTTATCAAAACAAAAAATACGCACAGTATGCACATATGACTAATAAGAGACTGACCAGTTGCAGACCTGAGCATCATTGATAAGATTCAAACAAACAATACTAAGTGAATTTAAATTTCACCCCATTGCACAAGCAAGTGGCTATCGGGACTCGGTGGCCGAGTGGATAACGCGATGGCGTTCGAAGCGATAGGTACTGGGCTCAAGTCTCAGAGTGAACATCAACTCTGAGATGCAGGTACATCCAGCTGACGAGTCCTGAATAGGACGAAATGCGCGTCCTGGATTCCACTGCTATCCACTATCCATCTTTGCTTTTTATCTACATTTCAGGAGAATAAGTAGCTTTGATGCTCTTCATTTAGGGCAACATACTATCAAGCAAATCAACATCAAGAATAAAGGTTTGCTTCATTTATCAAAGTAAATATTGTGAGCTTGAACTATGTAACGAAAGAAACAGTAAGGCAAAATATAATTATCTCTATCTATATCATAAAGAAGCAATAATTACAGTAAATTTGACCACACATTGATATCATCTGATAAACTATTTAAAACTAAGAAACAGTGAATGTACACTCTTACCTACTTAAAACATGTCTTCTAGGCGCATTCAGAATAAAAACAATGGGACCGAAATAAATTAAATTAAAAATAAAATTTAACTTTAACCAAGTCATTTATTTCAAATGTTAACTTATATATTCAACTTTAAAGCTTATGACGTAATACTTCACCTTCTGAATATCTTCATTATTTATACACTCTCAGTAAAGTATCATAAATCAATAACTATGTTACTCTATTCTAAAGTGTAATTAAGTGGCTACTATTTTATTACTTTATACTTGTGCAAACTTTTTTTTCCAAACGAAATTTTATTTGATGACCGCCTTTATGTATCGTTGGTTGATAATTTCCAAGATATTTAACTCATCCATTATATTAAGCCGCAAGCTTAGAATACATAAAAGTCATTGAAATGATTATATAATTTAAAAAAAAGAAGAAAACAAACACATATGGTCATTTATTAAATATCAGACTTATTAGTTACTTAACATTGTAAATATTGCGTAATCAATGTTAATTTATTTCTTGTTACTAAATAATTAAATTTATTACATAATTAACAAAATGTTAACAATTAATTAGTTTGTTGTTTTGACTAGCCAAATATTGAATCAGAATAATCGGTAAGTAAATCTATTTATGAACAATTGTTCTATCTAATATTATGTGTACTTGGTAGTTTATACATATTTAAATCCACTTAGTATTGTTTAGTTGAATCTTCCCATTGATGTTTTAGGACTGCGACTGGTCAGTCTCTCATTGGTATATGTTCACACTGTGCGTATTGCCTCGATATAGCCTTAATTCACAAGCATTGTAAGCATAGATGGATAGTGGCTAGCAGTGGAATCCAGTTTGACGCGCGTTTCATCCTATTTGGGACTCGTCAGCTGGATATACCTGTATCTTACATATTTATCTTAAATAATTTGCAACTGAAAAGTAGTTAACTTTTTAAGGTTATCTTAGGTGTGGTTTATAATTTAATTTAGTAGTTCAGTTTTTTTATTACAATATTCCAATAAGATAATTAATCATATCTGAAATAGATTTGACAGCAAATATAGTGATCGTATTAATAACAATGACAAAGTATATTTACCGAAAAGTTGAAGAAAACAATCAATGTTTGTTTTTGTTTTTTACTTTTAAAACAACTTTGAATGAACTTACTAGGTCATTATATTCATTTATTGTTTGGTTTAACACCCTTTTATGAAAAAAATACTGTTCATTTGTGATTGTATTGTATCAGTCTAATGAGTGCAAACCAGTTTAATTTGATTTACAATTTCCTACATGATAAGTAACCTTATTGCCAAGTTTCTTGTGAATATATTCAAAAGCTGTAACTAAGCACACTATCTAGTGACATTAAGCCTAAGCATTTTTGTGATTATTAACAATATCATAACGTAGAAGTGAGATAAATTACAAATAAAAGTCAAGTGGTTGACGATAATATACAATTAATGACATAAGCTAATCAAAGTAGTATAAGTAATAAGTAATAATGCGTATTTTAATAAATTACTTATAACTACACTATAAATGTTTGGTAAATCAACCTGGATGTTTTATGATTATGTGAATTATACAGTTAGATCTTTTAAAATTACGAACTGACTAGAGCTGAAAATGGTGATCATTCATATATGTTTTAGTGCTTATTATTAGCCATGTTCCCCATGTAACTCGAAAGTTATGAGGATCATTATTAATGGCTTTACTCGGCATAATCTTCTGTGAGCTCTTAAGTGTTTACTCTTGATGTGTCTGAAATCAAAATGAAATATTTAAAATCCTCAGTTTTCAATAACCCTTTAAGTCATTTTACTTTGTGATTAAGGCTAATCTGATCTTTATAAGTAACTATATACAATGAATATACTGGCCAATTTACTGGTTTTTTCAGTTTGATATGAAAGAGAACTTGTGGCATATCACTTTGAAAGACGCAATAAATAAATTATTTCGACTAAAGATTTGGAAAACAACTATCACTAATATAAAGTAAAAGTTGCTTGCAGAGTGAATAATTCGAGATGCTAAAGCGCAATTTTTGTGAAGTATAGAGATACTAAGAATACGCTACAATGACAATATCGGATAATTCTAAAACTATATATATATATAATATATTTACTATAAAACGTGCATCAAGCGGGTTATTTATTTAATTTTATACCATTTTTGCGTACAGTATAAATTTATGGTCGTTATTAGTGATCAGGGTTGCAATAATTTTAATGTTTGTACAATAGGTTTGATTTCCAGAAGAAGAAAAAGTTTAATTAATTCGTGATAATGTTGATATTGATTAACCAGTCGATAGTTTTATTACCATCAATATAAATGATTTTTCAATTTTTGTTACCTGTTGGAATCTGTCATATATTTTTTTGAAAATGAAACAGTAAGATAAGCGTAGGCGGACTAAAACGTCTACTTTAAGACAATTCAAAATAAACTTTGTAGTATTTAAAGCAATTAGTCTGGACTGGAAATGGGAGGGTAAGGGTAGACAAGGATAATAATAATGTGAAAACAATTTGAAACCTAATCACTTTGGATAATAAGCTAATATTACCAGGGTAGGCTTAAGGTGAGAACAAACTGTTTTTTGAGTACACAAAGGGGGTTTGAATTTTTGTATGGCTAAGGCTTCAATGAACCTTAGTATACGCCTTTTTACACTTTTATATAACACCACAAAAGCCGAGTCAAGATCAATCTTATGGCCTGTAGTATTTAGTAATTCTAGCCTAGTTAAAAAAAATTTATTAACTTGTACAACTAGAAATGAGAAAATAAAATATTTTAGTCACTGTTTGATTGGTATTACAGAGTTTACTATTATGTAACAGAACTAAAACTGAAGTTATTAGGTTGTTCAAAGATCCTTATCATATTAAAAGACTAATATTTGAACGAAGAATATTCTTTTTAATAAATTCTCTTCAGGTTCTACAATTACATATCTAAATTCACTTGATGTTGTTTGCTTGTATCTTCACATTGTTGTTTAGATCAAATTATTAATCTCCCCAATACATGATTCATTTACTTCTCATTCATCACATCTTATTATGTCTTACTGATAATTTTTTATACAATATAATCTTCCACTAAACATTTGATCGAATTGTAATTGCACCATTATTTCTCTCACTTTATCTGACCCCTATTTATTCTGATCATGGATCTTAAATTCTCACTTAAAATATAAGCCGATTCAAGTTAACATTCTATATGAGTCATATCAACATTAATAATTTTATTCTGTTTTATTTGACAATCCTAAATTCACATGCTTTAACTTAAAACAATGTACTTCACCCTTAACCTGGCCATTTTTCGGATTATTAATTTGGATATATAATTGCAGAACCTGAAAAGAAATTATCGAAAAGAACATTCTTCGTTCGAGTATTAGTTTTTATTAAATGGTAACTTCAGATTGCTTGTGAAGTAAGATTATTTTGCATTTTCCAAAAGTATATGTGACACGATTTTGAATTTTTCCATAACGAACCACTGGTTATCGCTGTTTATATTTATATTTCAGTTTTACGTGTTTATATCTACAAAGAATTCGTGGAACCTAATGGTCAACGTCACTACTTAGCTTATATCTATCAAGTATACAAGGTACGTTCATTAAGTGTATAAAATATTTATTGTCATGATATTCTGTACTTAAAATAATGTTACAGTTTGTAATTACATTAATTTCACTAAAACTCCCGGAACTTAGGCTATTAGTCATATTCGAATGAATCACAAGGTGCTATTCTCATTTTTAAGAAATATTCTGATTGAGTTTCTACCTACTTGATGATAATATGTTCCTGAATGATAAAGATGCCCATAAAAACCGACTATGGTAAGTAAGATTTTGAACGAAATTCAAAAATTCTTTATTAAATTTTCGTATAATTGTTATGCAAATCACTTTTCACGATGATTCATATCTCAAGCAATGAGTTGAGTAGATCTGAGTTTACCTTGAAATACAACCGTTGATAAGAGCGAATTTCGAATAGTTCGGAAGATATTTAATAAAAATAATTCCCTTCACATTCTAAACAGCTACTTTGCTTGGTTGATGATTTCTGTATCATAGTAATTTTCGCGCTTATTTCAGTCACAAGTCCATCTAAATATTGTTGATTGACGATCGGATCTTTTGTTTGCGTTCTTCTTTCCACAGATACTAATTATACTGAATTACTTTGATAAGCTCTAATTAAATGTTCGTATAATAAAAAGTCTATTTTTATCCTATAATGCCTTTGAGGATATTTAACTTATAAGGATTTACATTCCTAATTGAATTTTGATTAGGATGCTTTGACAGACTTTGAATATGTGTTTTTAATAAGTTTCGTTAACCCAAAGTAGTTCTTTCTTCTAATTTAGTGAACAAAATGCATCTAATAAAAGGTAACCATTTCAATTTCAAACTAATAAATTATCGGTGTTGTGGTCGTTTAAGAGCGATATTTACATGAAATCCTTGGAGTAAATATTAAAACATTGATTTAATAAGATTGCGTGATAACAATTTATACTGATTCAAGCCTGTACCTATTTTCACGCCAACTGCATTTGACCTCCTGTCAGACCACAGTGTCATTTTGCTGTAGCTTTCCTCACTTTTGGCTAGCAGTCGAGTCCAGGAGAAATGCTACATCCTAATTATGACGTGTTAACAGGATGTAACTGCACTCTAGTGTGGATTTGAACTTCTAGACATGAACTTGTTAATATTTGTTTCAAATGATCGATGAGTTACAAACTGAGCTTCTAAGTCCAGATACCCCCTAGATAGTGCAACAGATATAAACTTTCTATTTATTAGTAAGTGTTTAAATATTCTCGCTCCTAATATTGAGAATTGACTTTTGATCAGTTTCTTGTGGAATATAATCATCTTGGGTAGATTAGCTCGATAGAGTCATTTGGTCCTGTTTTTAAGTAAAACATGAGCATTTTCAATGAAAGATACTAGGTTTTAGAATTAGTATAAAATGTAACCTGGAGTTCGGACAGATTCTTCTGAAGAGTCTCAATTAAGATGAAGAGAGCGTCATGGATTCTAATCATAGCCTTCATCCGTGTTTATTTAATACCTTGTTGTTTAATGATATCAAGATGTTCATTCAGAATAAACACATTCCACATAAGACCTGATAAAAATTCAAATCTTAACATCAACAACAAGGAGGTCCAAACGCAAACTAATAGGAAATTAATTTATGATTAAACGAAATCCAGAAATAACTAGTCTGTACGCAACTTTTGTCCAGACTAAATCTTAAAAAAAATATTGTTTATTGTTTTTCTACTACCATCCGATATTCTTTGAACTACTTTTTTTATAGCTACTTTTTATCGTGTTAATTTTAACGCTAAGTTGAATAAATCTTTGTTCTTGGGAAAAATAAAAACCATCTGTTGGTCACTAATGTCTTTGATTAGAATGATATACGGTAATAATCTGTATTAGTATACCGATAAATGTAATTAGTGTTTTTTTTAATTCATAGACCAATGCGGTTGGGAAATAAGACTAGAAATAAATGTCTTATATAGCAACATTCAAATTAAATTTTATGTAGATATAAACTTTTGTAAATAACTGTAAGTTTTATCAAAATTATTGAGAAAAAGAAACAATAATAGGCCGGATTTCTATAAGACATAGAATATGTCTGGTAGTGAAATTCAAGACGTGAGTTTCTTTCTGTTTTCAACTCGTCAATTTAAAGTATCCGCGCTTCTCAGTGTTAATGCTTATATTAAGACTTTAAACTATTGCATATCTGTCCGATGAGTGTAGAATGAGACGACAAGCATTTTCTTGATTACACCGTTAGCCACATCCAAACAACAATAAGGCAATGTTGCTAAAAGACAAACATGAATGGATATTAGTTAATATCGATGTGTTTTTATGCTATCGAATTCCGATGTTTGTTGTACGAAATGTGTTACATATTATTTTAGTTTATTAGCATCTCTCACCATGAGATATTTTTTGAGCTAATACTTTAAAAATGTCTGTGCTTGTTTTCAGTCTAATATTTTATCAGTCTAAAAGTAGTTTTCATGACCTTTTGTCTTAAGAATTTGGATGAAAATGGTGATGAATGGACACAAAGACCTTCTAGCCCGATGAATTAAAAATGAGATGGAATCCATCACCTAGTTTCTACTAATTATAATTCCAAAATATTTCAGAGAATACCTTGATGCATGTTTTCTTCAAAATATTTAAAAATAAGTAGCGAATTTCGAAAAATTATAGTGATTTATCTACTGGATTCATGTTGGGTTTAATCCTTATGGAGGTGACAGCAAAAATAATATGCCATTCATGCTACTTCAAGGTAGCTGTTTAATATGCAATAGAAGTATTCACTGAATCTCTTCAAATTAATTATTTTCGGTGTGAAATTTAACGAAATCATAATTTTTATGTAGAAAACCATCATTAGTAAAGCCTAAACGTATTTGTGTCTTAACACATAATTATAATACAAAGTGTAATAAAAATATTCATTGCATACTTGTAATTAAACAGCTATTCATTTCTATATATTTTCAATACACTAAAGTAGCATAGTAAAACTGAGAAAACTAATGAAAATTAAAACGTTTTTTTCATTTTTTTCTACAGAATATTTTTATGAAACCAAATGTATTTGAAAACTTTGATATTACAGAGTAATTCACACAGAATGTAAGAATAATGTATGTTAGGTTAACTTGAGTCTAAAACTGAAATGCCACCTAAAACACACGATCAGACTGCATTGAAATAAAGTTTTTTGATCTTAAAAATTTTGCTTCAGAAAAACACTAAGTGCGTCTGTCGAGTGTAGATCACATACCTGACATACAATAACAGATGATAAGTGGGAATCAACATTAGACTGAGGACTAGAATAATAGACCAGATAAATTCCACGATACACTCGATTCATTAATCTAACCCAAATTGGAGATGTTTAGACACACAAAGACAACGAATTATTACTATTTAATGTTAAGCTGTCAATAAGCTAACTCGAAGCTCAAAAAATGAGGTCAGTTTTACACACAAGACAGACGGATATCTCTAAATTTGCTCCTTAGCCAATCACCGATTACATTGTTCCATATATCACAATTTGATAGCCAGAACTCTCATATAAGTTTATTTTTCAACCTTAAAACAGATTAGACACTTTGTTACTTGGCTTAATTTGTTTTGACTATATTCAAGGAGTTGGCTGTTCAAGCAATTGAACAAGAAGCAAACGCTATGTAAATTTCCATTAATAGAATGCATGATTACCAAAAAAGCTGTTAAGCATAATCTTCCATTTTGACGCTAAATAGAAAGAATATTGTTTGAAATTAAAACTGATTAATTCGTCGTAATTACTAAAAAAATTTACTCGCATACAAATAATCAACTTGATTTCTTGTGAGATTTATCAAACCTAGTTGTTTTTGTCTATTTTTAAAAAGATCACTCATTCAACAACTGTTATACTAATTCGACATTGGATGCTTATGCATTGTAATCATTTCACCTTAAAAATGTGAAGCGAACGAGAGATGATAAAGTGTAAAGTGCAAACATTTCCAAGATCCAAAGTTCAAAATATCAGTTAGTATGACGTAACATGGATGGAATTGATTTTCTAAGGAGACATAAATCACAAATATAGCTTTTCGAATAGGCTTATATTAAGAGCTTTTTATATATTCTACGTGGGCATTTGAGCATTTTGATTTTATATTTTAGTAAATGATTTTAAAAATTTCCTGTATATTTACAGAATTCTTCTTAATGGTTCGAAGATATTTTGAATAATGTAACTAACCAACTAAACGTGATCCGTAGATATCAATGCTAAGCTTGGACCTAATAGTTTCGAATAAATCGAGCATTGGGTCGAAAGTTAATAATAAATATCGTGGATGCACACCACTGAGGAGTCCCATACTAGGAAGAAACGGCCGTCCTATGGTTTCAGATTTTCAGTTGTGGTTTAGTTTACCTCGACTCATGAATCCAACTATTAAAATATATTTTTGTATCCCAATTATTTATTTACTCGGAGGAAGTGGTTTACATTATGTCACGAAACGCCAGGAACACAACTTTTCTACCCATTGGTATATAACGAAAATATATTTATTACTATAAACGTAAACTGTTTTTACATGTTTCTTACAATCATCATATGTGATAAATAAAATCAGAGCACAAAACTATTGATATCAATAGTGTTCAATTCATTAACCACAGTATTAGCTTTGTATTTTATAAATTTTAGAACTCCTCAGTCAAAACTACCGGTATTTTACCTTAGGGCAAATTGCTTAAAAGTCAAGAAAGCTACTGAAAATTAACTAATTAAACTCATTTTATTTGAAAACGTTTTGTTCAATAGTTTCGTTACTTAAGTAACGTTTGGTAAGTTACGCGAAATTTCGCAGACAAATTCTCCATAATAAACTCTAAGTAGGTTAGACTTTGACGGAGTTGAATAAAATATAACAGTTTGTTTTCTAAGTGTTCACCTACCGTTGGTATTTAACAAACCACATTAATATCTTCGACCAACTTACTATGATATTCTTTATCGTGCTAATGATAATTATCTACTTGGTAAACGTTTTGTGTCTGGGAAGTACTACTGATATTAAACGTTTTGGACCACATAAGTTATTCATTTATAAAATTGGGGGGCTCCCACGTTTTCTAAAAGTATATAGGTTGCTCATGATGTTAAGACAACAAACTGCTTACTACTTCAGAATGAAAGATCCGTTAGATATAAATTAGGCGAGGATTTTTTGTTTAGCCAATTTCTAAGCTGACAAGAAAAATTCGTTATTTGTGTACAGTCTTCCACTTATATTTCTAGTCTAGTTTTCTTAAAACATTCGCAAAACTGTGCTTAGGTAATATATTTTTCGAACATCAGTAGCAACTTTCAAGACTGTAAGAACAAATAATCCTTTAAATCATTTTGTAGACTATGGAATCAAAACGCTCAAGTGCTCAGGTAGACTATATAGAAAGCTCTTATTATAAACTCATTTGAAAAGCTATCTTCATTATTTGTGAATTTCTTCTGTATTAATTTGTTTTATAAATAAAATATATCCGATTTTAATGATGAAAGCCACTCAACTTATTTCTTATTTTAATTTTATAGGATACCAAACATTATATGCAACCAAGTCTTGTTCGGCAAATCGTATATAATTGTGATCGATTTCAAACTGGTCCAATGTTAGGTGAAGTTTACTTAATAACAGGTTAGTTTAAGTCGATCCGTTATTGTTATTATTTCAGCGATGAGTATATATTGACAGTTATTTATTCATTCAAGTACATCTTAAAAATTAATCTGAAATTTGAAAATGGATCCAAAAAATTAGGAATATAATATTTCATATGGTGTCCTATTTGACCAACTACCTGTAAAAAATACTAATTAGAATAGTATATATTAATGAATTGTATTCATTATTTTCAGGTTCTCAACAGATCATTACTTAAATATGACGCATAAAACGTGTGATTTTTAATACTGACAAATATTTCATCATGGATATGATGCACGTTTAATTAGTCTTTGTAAATGATAAAATAAATCAGAAGGGGTTTTTATGGATATTATAGAAATTTCATTAGATGAGATCATGAGTCAATTGAAGCTAGACTACCATGGAAAACCTGGAAACAATAAAACGAAATGGCCATCCAGTGATTCCAGGTTTTCCATGGTAGTTTAGCTTCAATTGACTCATGATCTCATCTATTGAAACTGATAAAATAAATGTATAAAATTTCAACCTGTTCATTACATATACAATGCTTCATATACAATTCTAAGGAGAAAACACAAAATAACTTTTATTTATCTATAGATTACTTTATTCATAAACGGATATCAATTAGGGAATCATTGAAAATAGTCATTTTCTGTTTTTCTTTTGTCTACCAGTCGTCTTAAATAATGGTATAAAATATTGTATAGTGATACAAAACCATCAAATTAAACATGAGTTTCGATCTCATATTTTATCATAAACACTTGCTCTCAAAAACTACTCTGTAATACGTTGAAATGTGTTTTCAACCTTTTTTCCCCTCTATCAGCAGATTCATTTGATTTCTATTCATTATTATCACCTAATCAATACTTTTTATGAATTTTGCCTTTTGTCATTAGTTCTTCCTCCATTAAACCAAGAATATTTAACATTATATGATATAGTGAGTTCATTTCATTTGGTACCACCTGAATCTTCCAATTACATACTGAGATATAGAAACAAATGACGTTTATCACTAGTGAAAAAAGCAATTATAATTTACTTCTATATTCATAAAATTTCATTTTGTAGACGAAATAATTCAGAATTAACTGTGACGTAAAAGTCTATCAGAAATATGTGTAAACTGTTATGATTATGGTAGATAAATGGTAAAATTGGTATTATCAACTATGAAATAATACTAAAGTCACAATAATAATGATAGCAATTATCATAATGATAATGATAATAATAATAATAATAATAATAATAATAAAGATGGTATGAGAAAAAACAATTGCTTAGATATCTAAGTTGATAAGATCTGAAACCAAATATCATTATCATAAATAAAAGATGGAAATTGAACTAAAATAAACACAGTTGTTATTGTGATTAAATGAAGATGAGGAATTTTTGTACAAGAGTCAAATATAATAAACGTAATATTAATTTTGTAAACGAAAGATAGAAGAAAAAAGGAAAAGGTAATTGTGAATTAATAAATACGATAACTTCTGGTAAACTATAAATTCTTTTCGGTTATATATAAATTGAAGATAAGGCAGGGATCTGTCATGCATAATGGTTACATACTCATATACATGATTTAAAACACAAAGATTATCTAACAACTGATGATGCGATCTGAACATGTCCAATTTTAACAGTTTCAAATAATGACAGAGTGCTTAAATCCATTTCTTGTAAGAGATGGAAAGTTAATCCTTATAATTTGGTTCACTCAATTTTCTCTGATCAAATCCTGTTCTGCAATCCAAAAAATATCTTGAAATTTGCCAGTGTAAATTATATGTCTTCAGAGATAACTAATTATTTTAACTTAATTATGGTAAAAAATAAGTCACCCTGGACAAATATCATTTTCTATAGATATACAACCAAAAGAACTAACGTTTGGTAATATTTTTATATTGACAAGCATATCTACAATTGAACATTTAGTATCTTTCAATGATACTAAATTTTTTAGTATTTATACTTTTAGCAGGCCTCTATCAGAAAAAGTTTTGGTGTACAGTTGCTCCAACATTTAAAAAGGTAGTTGATTATTGAAGTCTGTCAACGGTCATTGTCAAAAGTTGTAAAGAGTGGTGACACTTATCCACTTATAACCTCGAGTATATATATGTAAGGGTGTAAAAGTAAAAAAAGAAAGCATAACAAATCACTTTTTCAATAATCGCATTATTTTTATGATGAGGGGATAGAGGAGATTGATTTACGTCAACTTTGTGATCAGTTTTACTTGGAATATTATTTATGAAAAGAAACGTTGATCGATAAAAGTGTGTATAAAATGAATTGTTTTGCCTATCAATTAATACACATTACTTTGTGGCTATTCGACACAAAAATAAGCTTAACCATACATATTACAAAAATAGTCAGAAATATCTATCTACGTAATGCCACATACATGAAATTGAGGAAATGTAGAATAGGCTGCTTGAAACAAATTACCCGGAAAAAATTTTTTTTATAAAGAAAAAAGAAATTTCTTTTTTATTTGGAATCAAAGCTATTAGCTCTTAAACGATAAGAGAATTGAATCATTTTGAGATGGTGGAGAAGATTTATAGCTCATGTGGGTGATTTTGATGAAGTTTTTTTCTCTGAGCTGGATGGTTTGGTCTTGAAGCTTTCATCGTCCTTCTGAACGACATCATCAGCACAAAATTCGGGTAGAAGTGAAGTGTCTCAATTTCTCTACATGTGATTCACAGCTTGTCAACAAGAACCAATCAACATCGGGATGCGCAAGACAAGCTGTGAATCACATGTGAAGAAATTCAAACAATTCACTTCTACCCAAAGTTTATGCTAATGATGTCGTTCAGAAGGACGACGAAAGCTCCAAGACCAAACCATCCAACTCAGAGAACAAAACTCCATCAGAATTGAATCATTTAAAATGTATGCAACTCCTACTAAAGAAAAACTCATTAAACCGAAATGAGGTTCATATTTTTCTATTGAACATAAAGTCAAGAGAATAAATTATCCCATTTCCATCCTTTACAAGTTGCCATGTATAGATTATTTGATATGATTTAGTATCTTATGAAGAGCAACTTAAAACTGTTTACATTTTGCTTCAAACATAATTCATTTCCCTATATATTTTTAACTAAAGCTTATTGAAACCTTCAAAGTCGAATAATTTAATTATTTGATGGCAATTATGCTATAAAAAAAACATCTTACAAATGAGTTAGTTTATGGAGTAACCAAATATCATTATTCCCTGTGAGTAACTTTGCTTATTAATACACTTACTCTGACGTAAGAGTTTATAATTTTGTTGTGGAATACAATATGTTTTGAATTATTACACAACATATTCCATATAGAATAATTTGACGTCAAATAATATATTTGCCAAACACATATTTTTGATTTATTTGATGCTGAGATGATAGACAGGTTCGCATTATTTAATCTGTAAAAAGTACTTAACGATATACTTTTCCAGAAAAAGATTATGTTTTTTTTATCTGAACGGATAGAAACAAAAGTGAGATTTGACTTTGCACAAGTATGTTTTTCAGAAAACTTATTTATTATTATTATTTGAACACATAAATATTGGTACAAAGGGGCACTAGAAATATATGCGCCACACAAAAAATTGTCATTTCATTTAATTGTGTGAGGTCTATGATACTGAACGGGTGCCCAAACCGAAGCAGGTAGTTTTCTTAGGAGGTCACACTCGGAGCCTTCTACCTAAAGATCTCATCCACAAGGTAGTAGAGCATCGTGAGGAGATGCAGTCCCATGGTAGCCAGTGACTGACGATTGGTTCATATGCCATTTGTTCCCTCAGGACCCCGGTGTCCATGTGCACCACTGGTTTGGAATGAGGGTTTTCCAACTCCCCTAGGTGGACCCTCCGTGCCTACCAACCCGGTTAAAGCACCGGACATTCGCTTTTTGTCCCCTCCATTTCGTAAACAACACCCGCGCCACGAAAGGGCAGTTTTAGTTGTCCAGATTAAAGAAAATGAATGCTTTGATTATTTGGTTTGCTATGCTTTCATTTCTTGCTTTTCACAGAATGGTAGATATTGATAAAGTAACTCTGTAATCTCTCTTCCAGTCAAACTACGACAGTAATACCACGAGAAGGCAGTGAGTAGGACTTCCCTGACAGAGGCTGTATACGCGTGGATGTGTAAGAGCATTTCGAAAGAGAGAGCGGGCCCTCCGCACTCTCGGCCGTACCAGGGCATTCGGGGATTTCAGAAAACCTAGAAAACCGCAGACTTAAAGGTGAAACACTGGACTTATTTCTATTTAGAACAGTGTTTAATAGTTCATAAAAGTAACGAACCTGTAGATATTTAAAATTTTTATCATTTAATACTCAATATCAGGCATATATTGTTTCTTTTATTGTTAAGTCTACAAGTAGACAACATTATATTGTTTTACATATATTACCTGCATAAAAGAATGGTCAACCAATAAATTTGGATATGATTGTTTCGAAATAAACACAACACAACTTCTATTGAACAATGTTTGAAGCATAAACAGTAAGTCGATAGTATAGTAAAACATTCATTTTAGTAACGATGTGATACAAATACAAAAACTTCTGAACAAAAGGAAAATAATTATTAGTAAGGAGTTGTGAAGATTGTTGAGCTTAGATTGATATCGTGAATGGATCAATGTTAGTCCACCACTGAGAACCTGAGAGCACTAGACTGCCAGTTCGTCCTAGTATATGACTCCCCAGCGGCGCGCATCCACGATCTTGCACACGGGATTCGAACCCAGAAACTTCGATCTCGTGCGTGAACGCTTAACCTCTAGACCACTAAGCCGGCATCCAACGATGTTAATATCTAACTCCAACCAATCCACGAAATTGAGCTACCATCCACCATCGTCTTCAGTGAGTAACTGCCTCACAACAAACACGGATGAACTCCACTGATTACGGCTTCTTACTACAACTCTAG